CCAGCTAAGATTTCAGCTGCTGAGTCAAAAATAACATTGTGTGCTCTGCTTTTAAAGAAAGTGAGCATGATCTTAGCAGAGTAATTGTATTAATGACCCTTAGCCGCTATCCATCACTACAGTTGCAATCTGTTGCAGGCTTCTGTTCCTGCAATTTTACCGTGCCCTCAAGTAGTACGAATATACCTAGGCGGCTATTTGCAGTAACTAGGCACATTACACTTTGGTATGGAAAAAGGTTGTCAGTGTTGAAAAGTTTTGTTAAAAAACTATTCAAAGCAGACATAGAATGCATGGTGTGTATGAATCAGAAAAGCACAATCTATTATTGAAGCTGAGGTTACACTGGCATATCTCCCGCTGAGCTATTAAGACAACTGACTAAACATACTTAAGATGGCACCTTATAAGCATTTGGAAACTGGACCATTTTGGTTTTCTCGTGACTTTTCTTTTTTAAAACACACAGCATGGTTTGGAATGTTTCTGTTTAAAGCATCTGTTTTCTGTTAGGAGTGATTGCCTTAGGCAGCAGTCCAAATCATTCTTAATGTTGTTGGTACATGCACTTGATCTATTCGGGGCTTATTGCTCTGTAAGTGATTACTATTTTATTCTTTTATTTATCACATCTGTATTACACCCTATTCCTCTGAGGGGCTCAGGGCAAGGATACAAGATTATAATCAAACATAGGAGAGATAGGATTAGGTCAGCAAATAAATAATTCACCCATAACAATAACCAAAAATTGAGCTTTGTGGCTCAAACCTAGGGCTATAAGGGAGAGAACTGATTTCAGTAGGGTGTGGAGTGCAAGTCAAAGAAGACTCACCTTCTTCACTCTTTTTCATGACACAATTTTACAAAAGGAAAACGCTATAGTTACATTAAACTCATGAAAAAACATTGCAGCCAGATTCTAAACATAGCTGAAGCAGTCTTAAGAGCAACTAGTTTTCAGTAAAGGGATATTATCTGCACTGAGAATTCTGTAAACATAAAAATCTCAACATGGATTTAATCTGATTAAGCGTTAGTTGCAATCTTGGTTCATTTTGAACACGGCATCCATTTTCTTGGTACATGGAATCTTTCAACGGAAGTACAATCACATGGCTGTCTGGGTGGGAAAAGGAGGCCTATGAGCAAAAGGATAAGTCATTTGAAACACAAAAGGCTATCCCACTTAACATAGATACCTGCTGTACTTACAGTGGACCCTTGACTTACAGACGGCTTGACTTACAGACTTTTTGAGTTACAGACTTCTCTGGCCGCAAAATTTAGGTTTGACTTGCAGACTGAGATTTGACTTACAGACCAGAAAAAAACCAAAATGGAACAAAAAGGACAGGTTACTTACCTGTAAACATGGTTCTTCAAGTGGATTCTCTATAAATACACACTAGTGGGTTTAGACAGCGCCTGCGCTGGTCTCTCGGAATTTTCTAGAGCTGAAAAAAAAAGCAACAATGTTTAGGCTACCCTATACTGCGCATGACTAGCCCGCCAACGGCTCAGTTCCATATGCCCACCACAAAGAAGAGTTGGGACTCGATTCTAATGACGGACATGTGGGGAGGCCGGGCGGGACGTGTGTATTCATAGAGAATCCACTTGAAGAACCATGTTTACAGGTAAGTAACCTGTCCTTTTTGTAAACTCACCAACTGTGTGGAAGCTGTAGGACAGGATTGTGTGATGTGCTGTCAAGTCAGAACCAACTTTTAGCCACCCTAATAGGGCTTTCAAGATACGTGAAATATTTAAGGAGTGGTTTTATCTGTTCTATTCCTCCAGTGAATTTCCATGGCTGAGTGGACTGAAACCCTCTTCTTCAGAGTCCTAATCCATCACTCTGTCCACTACACCAGTGGTCCCCAACCTTGGGCCTCCAGGTGTTCTTCGACTACAATTCCCAGAAGCTTTCACCACCACCTTTGATGGCCAGGATTTCTGGGAGTTGAAGTCCAAGAACATCTGGAGGCCCAAGGTTGGGGACCACTGCACTACACCACACTGGGAATGAGAAAGTTTTTAATTTCCTAAAAATCAGCACAGCTGGATGACATTATTGCTTGTGGTGCTTTTTTGTAATTAAATACTTCCTCTTCCCATCCTGAAAGGGATAACATGAGAGCTATGGGAGCTGTTTGACAGGAGGAAGAAGTGTTAATCTTTCTCCCTCCCTCCACCAAAGCCCCTGCTGATGTCATCACTCTTCTGCAGGTATAGTTGTGAAAATACGATTTTAGGCACTAAATCCATGCCAAAATCTGTCTGAAACTTCATATACCGCAGAAAGATGGAGAAGTCGCAGTTCCAGTACACTACTGTTAGCTTTTAAGTCTATTAAATAAAACAATAGCATGTTGAGATCCCATTCTCTTATAAATTATCATTTTGGAGAGCTGTGATGAAAGTTCATCTACAGAAAACACATCCATTTACACAGTATGAAGAAGTTTAAGCATTGAACAGCTTTTAAATCATGCCTCATTCACTGTTTTCCATTTAAACAGCATGCTATCTTTCTCCCACTCCCAACCTAGCAGGCAGGAATTCCCTTCTTCTCCCCTATGTCTGGTTTATTATATGATACGACAATGGACAATCATATTCTTCATTTTACAATTAGACAGTGCTCCAAAGCGCTTTAGAGATGAATTATAGTGGGCTGAATCCAAACTACATGAGTTGAAATTAATTTGCACTATACACAAATAAACCAACAGAATAAATTATGACTAATTTCAGTGCAGTTTAAGCGTAACTCACTTAGTCTGCATCCAACTCATTGATAGACTGGCATAGATCCCGGCTGCTGCAGTGCACACCAAGGATGTGTCAAACCAAACCAATCTGCTTTGGGGGGGGGGAATATACTTGACATATTAAAGTATTGCACAAACGTTTTGATGAGATCTCACAACACACCAGTTTTCAAATTTAAAGACATTTTATTACATTTACAAAAATAGAATTGAAAAAAAGGTAATTTTAGATCTCTTGATAAAATTTAGAGACCTCCAATAATGAGGCCTTTGGGAATTCAATAAGATGTGGATTAAAGCAGTAAAACTGGATAAAGGAAAGTAGAAGGAAAAAAGGAAAAAAAATGTTAGCCACACAAGTCAAGTTGTAGCACAATCTTGGGCATCTTTACACACAAGTAAATAAAATTACACTATGTTCCACAAAGCATTCTCTCAGGTAAATGTGCACAGAATAGCAGTTTTACAAGTCCAGTTCTACACACGCCTACTCAGAAGACGACACATTATGTTCAATGGAATTTTTCCTAAGGTGAGTCAATATGGGATTGCAGTCTTGGGGGACCAAGTAGGAGAATATGGTATTTCCCTGATAAACTCAAGTGACTTTATCATACAAACTGAGTATTTTGATAATTATTGTTTAGGTCAAAAGGTTCTAGCTGATTGGTTTCCTATCACACCTTTATATGAATGTGAAAAATACTCATGCTCTTTTATATAATCTAGAATCATAGTCCAACCAAGGCAGGAATCCAAATTAAAGCACATCTGAGAGCAGTTGTCCAATTTTTCTCTTGAATGCCTCCAGCGCTGGAGTGCTCACTATCTCTTGAGGTAATTGGTTCCACTGTCATACTGCTCTAACAGTTAAGAGGTTTTTCCTGATCTTCAGCCTAAATCCGGTTTCCTGTAACTTGAAACCATTGTTGTGTCCTGCATTCTGGGATGACCGAGAACCAGTCCTGCCTCTCCTCGTTATGACTACCTTTCAGACATTTGAAAAACACTATCATATCTCCTCTAAGTCTTTTTTTCTCAAGGCTAAATATGCCCAGTTCTTCCAGTCTTTCCTTACAGGACTTGGTTTCCAGTTTCCTGATCACCCTTGTCCTCCTCTGAACTCTTTCCAGTTTGTTGGGATCCTTTTAAAAGTGTGGTGTCCAGAACTTGACACAGTACCCAAGATGAAGCTTAACCGAATGGAGGGGGAATGGTATCTCCCGGGATTTGGAGACCATACTTGTTAATGCAGCTCAAAGTAGCATTTGCCTTTTTCAAAGTCCTAGATAAACATTTATGCATAGTTAAAACAACGGGACTCTCGGACACAAGATAAAGTGACAACCGTTGACTGGGTTTGTTTTAGAGTGAAATGAATATACAGTGGTGCCTCGCTTAGCGAGTGCTTCGCTATGCGATGATTTCGCATAGCGAGGGGGTCCGGGCCATCGCTGGAGCATTTCGCGCCCTGCCCTCGCTTACCGAGGGCGCGAAAATGGCGGCGCTATGGAAGAAACATCGCTTAACGGTGAGTTTTCAAGCCATAGGAACGCATTGAACGAAGTTCAATGCGTTTCTATGGCTTTTTTAGTCCCGTTTAGCGATGTTTTCGCATAGCGAAGGTTAATCCGGAACGGATTAACCTCGCTATGCGAGGCACCACTGTATATTTTTTCCCAGTGTTCAAGGCAAAATGCCTGTTTCAGTTGTTGGGAACATGAGTATGGAAGGTTGTTATTGTACTCATGTCCTCCTTGTGGGCTTTCTATCACAGCCGATTGGTTCCTGTAGGGACAGGATGATGGAACAGATAGGCTTTTGGTCTCATCCAACATGTTTCTCACCTGCAAGACCATTTACTTCCAATGTTGCTGTTCAAAGGATTCTTTAGCAGTGCCTGTTTCAGTTGTTGGGAACATGAGTATGGAAGGTTGTTATTGTACTCATGTCCTCCTTGTGGGCTTTCTATCACAGCCGATTGGTTCCTGTAGGGACAGGATGATGGAACAGATAGGCTTTTGGTCTCATCCAACATGTTTCTCACCTGCAAGACCATTTACTTCCAATGTTGCTGTTCAAAGGATTCTTTAGCAGCTTCTCACCACTTTGATAGTATCTTGTAATGCCATAAAATCTCCCTATAGCAGAACAATGGAAGTATTCGTGGAAAGCACTGCTGTATCCACTGGGGGGGGGGGGGGGAATTTTTCGATGCAGAAAGTCATCAAACTTTGCACATTGCGTTTGTATTGGCTTTGTGCTCATGCAAAAACAACAACATAGAGAATGTCATGAGAGTATTCTTATATGTGAATGCTCCAACATATTCTAAACAAATTATTCAGTTAGTGATTGCATACTCTTGAGTTGTATTACACAAACAGTGGAATATACACAAATCATTTTTTTCAAATGGAAAAACAATTTATTTTAACAATTTTTATTTCAACACATTTAAAATGGTGTAATCTATTTAAATATGACTGACAACACTATACATATGTTTCTTAAACATATTTAAGAAAGTGTTTTGGTCTTAAGTCTGGACAATAAATACAGGCACTTCTACTTATATAAAGACAGCAGTCACTGTTTTGAATAATTGTCTCGATATAACACAGATGAAGATATGGCAGGCAGAAATTTAAGAGTGTTTTAAGATCTACTCCTTTCAGATATCCTTTGGCTATACCAGGATTCACTTTAAATTCTACGATCTAACCAATCACATTTTCATGAGGTTGTAAGCTCAGCAAATAGGAGGCTCAATATTTTTAAAACAATTAGAAAGTTCACATATCAGAGTGAGTAAAGCTGCCTGTTCTTTAAAGTCAACATGAAAGTCAGCAACTGACTAAATGTTAAGCTTTGTATCTCTCTAAAAAAGGAGACTGTGTAGCTTTGAGACTCACTGAAAAAGCTGCAATATTTGTCCATTAGCCATTTGATAATGAGAAATACTTAACTTCCCAGAATCATAATTCCAACCTTAGGCTAGTTTCTCAACAATAGATACATAAAGCATCTGAACTTCTAAATGCATTGCAATGTCTGAATTGCATGAATGTAGCCACCACAATTAATTAAATGCTGTTCAAAAATAATTTTCAGTAATCAGGGTATATGTCAATTTTATTTATGTTAACATTGCTTTCCTGCCTTTGAGTTACAAGAGGTGGCCCAAGATCTTTTCTCCAAAATAAATAGGTCAAACAGCATTTGGATTCTATCATAGTTACATAGCCACTAGCACTGGAAAACAGGAAAGCCCTTCCAACATCATAGGGCCAATTAGTCACTTAAGCAGTGCTTGATTTAATCACAACTTCTGAAAGCTATGGTTTTTCAGTATTTTATTTGTGAAAGCACTGAATGTGTGATAACAAAAAGAAAGGTACTGTGTTTTTGTGACATTTCCTCAGAATGCAAGCTGTAACTGATGTAGTCACACATCAAGAAGTACAGGGTCATCCATTTTATCTAATGTTGGTTTACAAAGTAAGCCACTAAATGAAGACAACACATTAACTGTTTTGCCAAGAAATCTGAACTGAAGTATGGGAAGAGATTTTGGACACAACTGCATTTAACAATTTAAATGTGGATCCTGCAAGTCTGTCCAAATCTTAATCATTTCTTGAGGTTTCCTGCTGTGGACTAACATTAGGTTTGTGTAGGAACAAATGTTACTCCTTTGTTTCTCATCGATATCAAATGTCTTGAAACCTTTGTGTTTTTCTGGAGCAAGACCAAGTTTCTGAAGGCACATCCCAATATACACATCATCAATAGGATAGAGAAGGACTTGGTCTGATATGTTGGTTAACCTCAATGCCAGATCACCAGAGTAGAGAAACCCACCACCTCCTGCATATGGAGGATAAGAGCCTTCATAAATACTCTCAGGAATATAGTATTTTACGTTCTTTTCACGATGAGGTCCAGCATCTTTGATAACATCACCTATAAATAAGTCTTTGGCTTTTTCCTTGGTTAAACTCTTCAAGTAATCCAGGATCTGATGAGTATTCACAAAAACATCGTCATCTCCCTTAAAAATAAACTGAGCATCTGGACAGGTATTACTGACCCATTTCAAAAACAACACTTCTTTCAGAGTCAAATTGAAGAAAGTATCCCTGTAGTTCCACAGAAGAATGTCTTGGTGGGATTCACTCTCAAATTTCAACATAGCTGAGAGATCAGGATAGTTGTCCTCTGGAGGAGTCTGACCTAACAAAAAGACCCGCACAACAGTTATGTCTCCTGATTTTATTTCTTTTCCCCAGGATTCTCGGATTGCTTGCCTTCTATCAAAATGCGGTGTAAGTGATTTGATAGCCAGAAGCAGGAATGGTTTATGCTTGCACTTGTGTGGCTGGTCTACTAATAAAGAGTAATTTCTACACCTCAAGTAAGAGAAGAAGTCTTTAAATCTATCTGGCAAGTTTTCAAAGCCAGCAAGTTCTGAAGCTACATATGGATCAGGATCACAAGAGCTCCAGAAGCTACCATTAGAGGATAACCTCTCTTCCACAGTCATGTTAGAAAGCAATGCAAGAACAGGATTGTATAAATGTTCCAACTTGTGCTGCTGTTTATTCCAATATGCCTTGTGAGGAGTATACTTTTTCCAAAATTTGCCTCCTGGTAGTATAACGTGTCTGCTTGAACGTTTCTCTTGGCTACTGCTCTTTGAGACTTCCACAATCACATATATGAAGAAGTTGACCATCATTAGAATTCCCAGCAATTTTAATCTTTTGCGTCCTACACTCATGTCTCATATCTGGAAAACAAAACAAGATTTTAAAATCAGGAGAGAAAACATTAACAGTATAGCAAGGTAACACTGATTAACAAACTTACTACATGATGAAGAATGCAAATGTCAATAAATCAAGATCTCATCTTAAGCAGAGTATGCATTAACATGCAACTTATTTGCAGCAACTTTTATTAATAGAAGTTTTCATAAAATGTAGTAGTAGACTTCAAACAATAAACACATCAAGATTTTTCAGGCTGTTTGGCCTTGTTCTGGAACTAACTCCTGTCATCTGAAGATGCTGGCCATAGAGACTGGTGAAATGTTAGGAAGAAAAACCTCCAGAAAACAGCCAAACAGCCCGAAAAACCTACAACAACCATCGGATCCTAGCTGTGAAAGCCTTTGAGAATACATCAAGATTTCTTAAAATCTATCAATACAGGAAACATGTACATCAGGAAATATATGCAAATAAGAATAGCATCAACAATTAAAGAAATTTGACAGAGCTATCATTTTTCTTTGATAGATGAGGCATATTCAGAAAAAATATAGAACTGGATAGTGACCGTACAATCAACTTATAAAGAATAAATACCTTTTAAAAATGACACTGTATTTGAAAAAGGTAGCATTCTCGTTCAATTATATTTGCATTGTATTAGTTGTACTTTACATCACAGTGCTCAGAAATTGGCCATATGCTCCTTAATACAATGTGTAGTTAAGAGATAAACCTCTTGCTGAAATTCTACTATATGAAATACAAAGCCCACCTGCAGCCATTCTAACGTGACTGTATGACCATACTGTAATATTTGGAATAAATGGAAATACCTTCAGCCAAGAAGAAATTAATGAAAATACAGGAATTTGAACTTCTGTGATAGCTTTCTAGATTAGAATTGTACTCTTGCAATTTTAGCATATTCCAAAGGTCAGAAGTTGTACGATTGCATTACTAGGCTGACATTACCTTGCACCACATGGACAAAGTGCTGGGTTGAGCAAGAACTTCATTAATAATGATAAATAATGACATGCCATCAAATCTATTCCAAGCCTGATAGCAATCCTTCTGAGATTTTTTAAAGTGTGAAATTCTCAGAAATGGTGTACTATTTTTTTTCCTTTGGGTGCCACTCTGGGACTCTGCAGTTTGCCCAAGGCTACACAAGACAGTTTTTCTCTTGGGAGACAAAAACTCCCAAGCAAACTTCCAATCCAGACCACTGCAGGCAGGTGCTCCAATCCACTAAGCTATCTAACCAGCTAATAAAATAGTATATTTATTAGATCAATAAAACATTGTACTCAAGGTGAGCTTTCAGGTTCTCCAGAAATTGGAATTGAAGCAAACAGTTCAAAGTTTAAGCCAGATGCTCCTGGCTCAAGAAGCCTGACTGGAAGTGGACTGGAAACATAATCTATGAATGGGTTACAAAGCTTTTTTTGTTATTTTTTTTGTATTTTTATCATGCAAGGTCTGACTAAATAATCGGTTCTGTTTTCTTCTCCCATTTCTAAAACCATCAGGGAAGAGGGTGTTTGAAAAAGAGTCAATATTTTATTAACCTTCATTTATGCCTTGAAGGATTCCAACATTGTTCTGCCTAATGCTTCAGAAAAAAATATCAATGCAAAACTGCAATGTTTTGCACACTGAGCTCATTCAAATATATAAATGCTTGTAGTGCACAGATATTTCATGCATCTGTATGAAGGCAATATGTTTTGGAATCTGCCTTCATTTCAAAATTTCTTCCATGTAAAATCTTGCATATATAATTTGGATTCAATCCTGATAGGCCATAAATGAACTCCCTTCCTTAGTTGCTAAAAAAAGTCACTTAAAAAAACGCAAAGAAGTAGTAGCTATCATAAAGTCATGCCCTACAACTGTGGTACAATACTTTTATTACACATTAAACACTTTTCCAATTAGAGACACTGTGACATAGCAGATAGTATCAGACTTGAATGAGGAAGTCACAGGGAAGCTTCCTCTGACTCTCCTCCAGTAGAACTCCAAGTTTGGTGAAGATTGGATTTCAGATATCCATATTATACCCCCACAAATAGGGGCACCCAGGAAAGTCCCCTCCAGGCACCTAGAGACACCAACATAGTAGAGAAGCTTCCCAAAACTCTCCTGTACAATTCCTCAATGTTTGGTGAAGACTGGGTTTCCCCACGCCAGATGCTAAAGGGCACTTTCAGGAGGAGGGATGCACTTTGTGGGTGTATAACTTGGATGTCTGAAATCCAATCTTCATCAAACTTGGAGGGATTGCAGTGGAGTCAATAGAAGCTTCTCGGTGTTTTTGATGTCTCTAGGTTTCGGGGGAGGGGATCTTCCTGGTGGGGTCCTACTTGTGGCTGTATAACTTGGACAACCGAAACCCAAACTTCATCAAACTTGGACGGCATGTAGATGAGTCAGAGGAAACTTCCTTGCAATGTTTGTGTCTCTAGGTGCTTTGAGAGTGATTTTATAGGGGTTTAAAGTAAAAAATGAATTAATGAATCGATTCATCAGAATTGTTTTCATACATTTGTAATTTCTTGACCTTCAATCACAAATCAAAGCAAATCACCATTTTCCTGATTCATGCCCTTCTCTAGTTTGAGGTCTAGTAAAAGTATGATAAATAATGTAAAAATCTGTATTGCGTGCATTTCCATAAGCAGGACATTAACAAATCAGGCTACAAACAAGGTTGCTGTAAGACATTTTGTGGTGCTTTATAACAGAAAATGTGAAGGCATATTACCTGTTTTGATATTGTAATTCCAGTTCTACTGCACAATACTGGTTAGGTAGCAATCTTTACTCAAGGGCCTGAGTATGTTACACAATACTATTTCAGATTTTTTTTACATTAATATCAAAGATTCCTGCATTCATGCTCTTAATTACACAGTTTTGTCAATGTTACTGCAAATATTTATAATCTGATTTTCTGCTAAATAGAGCATTCAAAGCAGCATACATCACCTCAAAAGATATAAAAGCAATAAATAGTTGTATATTGTATACAGGGAGAGAGTAAAATACACATACATGGAAAACCTACAGAAGGACAACCCTGAAGAAGAGCAATGCCTCAACTGATAAACTCATATAGGAGAAGGCAACTCCTCTGGAATTATTTCAACAAACTGCTTATATACTGTACTTTAAACAGACGTCAATAATTTTGAGCATGATATTAGTGTGTTCTGATCATGGGGGCCTGAATCCAACTGGTAGCCCCAACTAGAGTCAACGGGATTTACAGAAATGTCGACTCAGCTTTCAGCAAGTGATTCCATGGGTACACCCTAGCTGGGACTACATAGTCAAAGCTATGGTTTTTCCAATAGTGATGTATGGAAGCAAGAGTTGGACCATAAAGAAAGCTTACTGCCCAAGAATTGATGCTTTTGAATTGTGGTGTTGGAGGAGGCTCCTGAGAGTCCCCTGGACTGCAAAGAGAACAAACCTATCCATTCTGAAGGAAATCAACCCTGAGTGCTCTCTGGAAGGACAGATCCTGAAGCTAAGGCTCCAATATTTTGGCCATCTCATGAGAAGCCTCGACTCCCTGGAAAAGACCCTGATGTTGGGAAAGTGTGAGGGCAAGAGGAGAAGGGGACAACAGAGGATGAGATGGTTGGACAGTGTCATCGAAGCTACGAACATGAATTTGACCCAACTCTGGGAGGCAGCAGAAGACAGGAGTGCCTGGCGTGCTCTGGTCCATGGGGTCACGAAGAGTTGGACACGACTAAACGACTAAACATCAAAGTAAAGGACATGCAAGCTCCTTCCCCCTTCTAAATTATCACTCCGGTTGAAACATGGGACAAATGTAGGAAAACAAGACACGAACAACAATAAAGAATTGGAAGAAAGATGGGAAATTACAAATAATTCTTCAGGAGGTTAAAAAAAGCAACTAGCTGGAAATACAGTATTAAATGCTGTGGCAGAATTTTTATTAGGCTCAATATCAAGAGGAAAGAAGCTGAAAATATATTAAAAGCTGTGTTGTACTGAATCATCAACATCTTACCAAGAAAAAAAAGATTTAAAGAACACTAAGGCCTATTATTAAACAAAAGTGAACAGGAATATCCTGGAATGAGCTACCATTGCCAGGCAAGAAGTCCAAACTGTACACTACTGTAATGATGTGTCTTTACTCAGCTCTTCCCTGCTACTCTTAAAGAAATGAACCCCAATTACACAAACAGCTTTGCCTCAATACTATCCTCCAACTGCAACCCCCTGTCCTAGGCCTATCTGGAAGACTCCTGAAACGCCAAAAAGTCTCTTCATGTTATGAAGGGGAGGTGGAATTGCCTTTATAGTCACATTGCACTGAGTATGCAGTTCTGATGCAGCCTTGGAGATAACCCCCAGGGAGACACTAATCTACCTCTTCTAACAATGTTAGCCATGAACTGATGGACAGCTCAGATACAGCTTCTCCACTATGCCTCCTTGATAAGGACTAGACTGCATCCATAGGGTCCCTTCCAGCTCTGCAGTTCTAAAATTGTTGTTGCTGTATGGAAAAACACAAATAACATTTATAACCAGCACTTCTACAGTCCTTACTGATGGTCCAATTATAAATAAAAATTATAGATCCATTGACAAATATTGATCTAATTAGGGCTCAGCCAAGAAATGAATGGAAAAGCAGAGAAGTTTTTGACCATTTTTGTTGGACAGTACAAACAATGAACTGACCACATTGAGATTCTACCCGCCTATAGACTAATGCAGGCTTCATTTACATTGCTTAAAGTGATAGAATATGCACAAATGTATATCTTATTTACAGATGGATGAATAGTAGATGAAGGATATTCAAATGAATCAATTACGGATTTTATGTTAGTTCAGCATAACATCAAACATGAAAACAAACTACAAATAGGACAGCATGAATTACTAGGAAATAAACTATGAAATAAGGCTGTCAAAGTTTAAAAAACAACAACAGTATTTACTATCACCTCTAATT